TTTTTTTTTTTTTTTTTTTTGTATACATTCATGACTGTATTGTGTGGTTTAACTATTAACCTCTGTTCAAACACCTTTATAATTATGCAACTTTTCAGTTCTGATTTGACTGTTGGTTTTAGTGAATTATAACCCTAATTTAGAATTATTAAAATCAACCGATGACTTATTATTGATTATTAGAATGCAATGAGAGCCAATTTCTTAAAATTATCTTTAATTTATTATCTTGAAGGATCTTAGATAACGGTTACATATAAGTTTTTCTAAATAATGAAAAAATCAAACCTTCACCTATAATTTACTCAAGGTATAAATTAAAAGTATATTAAATATTAATTGATGTAAAACTCATTCTACAGAAATTAATGCATTTCAAAATAAATTTTAAGTATAGAAAAAGTTAAATGTTTTCACAAATCATTGCAATCACTCGTTCATCCAAAAATTTTATTTTGAAGTTATCTTCAACATATTACAGTAAAAATGTTAAAAAAATAACAGCGACAATCGATTAAAAAAATGTATCAAAACTAAACTGTAAATGTTCAAATGTATTAAATAAATCAAATACGTTTTATGAAAAGTAAGTTTACTAAAACCATGAAAAGTATATCAGCTGTTGTTGATGGCGATATTATGAAAAACTCTGGCAGAATTAACAAGGATTAAAAACAAGAGATCATTTAAATTGCGTTTGGCTCGTGTCAACTATTTAATTTTTGCTGTTTGTTTAATTGTACATAAGGTACCTAAGCGTTTACGTTAAAAAAAACATTTCAGACAAATGTAAAAGGGTTCGTCGTGAATAAACAATACATAAAAAGTGGTAGCAGTATTTTGGCGGATAGGGTCGAAAACACATTAAAGGAGAGTTTACTTTTTATAACAAATTGCTCTTCATATGTATGTATTACATTACCATGCTCGTGTACCGGTGTCTACCTACCTTAAATTACAATTCATATATAATGTGTACCCAAGCAAAGTAGAACATATGCAAATGCGACTAGCTCCAGGCTGTTTTCTCTTTCGTTTTTCCTAATATACCATCATCATTATGTTCCTCGTGGTTGGGTTGTTTGTTTTCATTTTTTACAATTTTTTTTCCCTTTTTGTCATTAGATATGATGTTTATCTTCAATAATGCTATTTCAAAGTATGTTAAGTATGCTTGTACGATTTAAAATCCCTTTCCTCTTACTTTTGTTTACTTTTCATTTAAATTGCTCACTTTTTTCCTGTACGCATACAAATCATTTAAATATATACGAAATATTTAAAAAGCACGACGTGTTTCTGTAGAAAACAAACAAGTCAGCTGTTTAAGCGTATATTCTGAAAGTCAAGATTTTATATGAAAGTAAAATATGTTTATTTTTCATTATGAATATTTTAATTATAAGTTATAATTAATAATTCATTAATAATGGAGATTTTATAAAAAAAAAAACATTTTTTATCGTTACAATTTTGGCTGATTTAAAAACTAGGTTGGTATAATTTAAAACTAACGTAAACGTACTTTCGAAATTTTCGACTTAACATTAATAACGCGCTTATTTTTTTCATCGTTTTAGTATGTTACATATTAGTACCACATGATTTTGTTAACTTGCGTACAAATTTAAAACAATTAATTTACTATCATTATTTTAAGCTAAAAGTATGCGATAAGTTTTTATTTCAACTATTCAAACGTCATTGCATATTAAAGACTAACTAGGCAACGATAAAAGAAAAAGCCTTAAAAATAAAAATTTAGACAAAGAAATATAATTATTTGTTGAAATTTAAATACATAACCGTTCTAAAAAGACTAAATCCTCGAAAAAATACTGAGATATAATACCGAAGTAATTCTCTCTGGATTTTTGACAACGGTTATGTTCACGCCAAAACAGTTAATGAGCAAAAGCAATAGTGGTGGTCGAGTAATCCGGTAAAAGATAATCTGGTACCGCTGAAGGGGTAATTAAGTTATACACCCTTCTCAATACAATTTATTTGTATACAGTTCACGGTGTTCGTCTTTCGGGGTGGGATTTTCTTTCTTTTTTTTTTTTTTGATTTTTCGTTTCTGGCGCTCTTTACACGAAAATGATGTCGGTGAAGGCGGTGGAGCAGGTGAAAACGAAAAGCGAAACGTCGGGTGTCCAGTTTCCCACGCGCCACAATCCCAACCGTTTGTGTAATAGCTTGTAGCTGTTAGACACTACCCCTTCTCTGCTCTGTGTATTTGTATATTGTTACTATTCTCTTCCCTATTGTTCATACTCTATCCTGCGTACTCTTTTTTTGTTGGCTTGCTTTTCCTTTTTGTTCACTTTTTTAGCACAAAAATAATACAACACCTGGATGCCCCAGAAGAGAAAAATAAACGAATTTAGCTAAAAACTTTTAAACTTTAATAAGTTATAGATAAATTACCACAAACAAGGGTAACTTAATACATTGGAATTATTATGTAAACTTTATACACTAAATAGGATTACGAAAATCATTAACACATGACAACTCGCCCAAAAATGTAAACATTTTCTAAATTTATAAAATATATAACTTTGGTTTTTTCAAACATTTAAATATCTTTTAGTTTGGGACAGAGTTTTTATTTTTAATAAAATTAATACATCATATATTTTAAATTTATAAAATGATATGAAATGGGATCCAATTGGCGCATATGACGATTTTAAGTGAAAATGTTTTTCCCTACAACCTTATTAGAGTAATATCAAGGGGTAGGTTGCCAAAAAGCCCTACTGTAATAAATGATCCGTATAATAATCGAGCTGCACACTTTGGCAAAGCAAACTCGTTAAAAATTCTATCGAATAAACGTATAAATGAACATTCCTGTTACCAGTGTTGTTTCCCATTGTATTGCAGTTTTAGTAGGAAAAACATTACGATTTATGACATTATTTATTGTATAGTTTTTTTTTTTGCGTTATATTCTTATCTGATCTTTTTAAAATTTATATTCGGGTACTTACTGCTCTTACACAAAACAAATGTAATTCCTTTACAGATATTATTTTTCTTAAATGTACTAAATTTAAACTATTCTTTTATTATAACACTATTATTCACGGTAAAAAATTAACCATGCAATAAATAAACTAAAATAAAATAATTGAAATTAATAAATAATAAAAAATGTAGAACTATATGCATAAATTTATCATTTATTTTATATATTAAACTATTTAAAAGCGATTTACACATTCTAATGGATTATAAGATTGTTCGATTCAACTTTTTTTTTTATTGTTTTTAAGTATTGCGCCTTTAGAAACCACAATGAAACTCTGTACAATCTAACGCGATGCTACTGCGCCAGGACGATGAGTATTTTTTGTTTGTCATTGTTTTCTCAATCATTTTTGTTGCTATTGTTCCATAGATGACCCTGGGGATGTTCGATGAATAGAAAGAAAGCGATTTGCCAACTTTTTGGGTACACAGCATGTGGTAAAATGGCG